GCCCCCCCCCCCCCCCCCAAAGTTTGCGCCATATTGCAAACTACAGTAGCCTAACAGGCCAACAAAAGTCTGCAGGTAGTTTTTCTCAAGTTTCCTTTGCCTGCTGAGATCATGGTTAAGACCCGTAAAGAGCAGAGAGCTTTTTGTATTGAATATTTCCTCACCACCAACTCATTTCGTAAGTTTGGGACAAGGTACGGAAATAATGTTTAAGTGCCCTGGAAGCCTTCTTTGATGTCAAGGGTGAAAATGGTCCGTCAGTTAGGACCTGTAGCGAATCAGAACTAAAAATTCCCATATAAAACGACCACTTCAGGCCAAACACACGTCGTTCGCACCCCTACGTCACCAAGGTACAGAATTCAGTAGATGAGCCCCATGAGACGTCTGTTTGTAGACGATGCCTGCCGCAATGACTTTCTTACATGGCAGATCTTCACCTACGATTGTGCCATTTTCCCGTTCGCGAAGGTATCAGAGGATAGCAATGTGTTCATGATTCCTCGATCGTCTTGTAAACCTTGAACATTTCCTCTATGGCAGTTGGTTCCTTGGCAAAGCCCATATTCACCTTCTTGGTTATATCAACTCCACAAATGCTGTCTATTTGGGCAACCTCACCCCCCCCGCCAATCCCAATTGTCTCTAGAGACAGCTCCATACTGTAAGGTGTGTAGCTTTGAGTACTCATGGTTGATTGGATCATTGTGTTCACCACTGAACATTACGAAGGACGCGTTAAAATGTGTCGAGTCCAAAGGAGGACATATAGACCAGTAGTTCTTGGAATTCCAGAATTTAAGAAATATTTTAAAACTCTGTAAGAGAAAAGACATGTTGTTTAAAGGTTACAGGGATAGAAAGATTAGATTTTAAAAATAAAATAAAAGGAAAGGAAAGAACAAACCAATCATTTCATGACGTTCCTTACAAGATCTTTTAAATTGGTGCATTTTGCATTTATAGGTGGTTTTTATAAAAGCCTTTTCTGTTTTCGAAAATACGTTTCTTCTTTGTGAATTTTATGTCAAACAAATTCCTTTTAAATGAATTATATCAGTGCCAAATAACAACTTTCTAGTACAAATTTTGGTCGGGATATTTAGAGAAAAAAAAGTTGTACAGTTTTTTTGGATCACCCGCTGGGATCACCCTGTAAATGTCATTAGAGCTGTAGAGGGGGCTCTCGTGGCCTAGAGGTTAAAGTATGTGCCTCTCATTCAATAGGTCCCGGGTTCGAATCCAGATAGCTACGGAATTTTTTCTTTTCTAAAGTTTTCTCCATTCACATCCTTTCCTGCTCTCTAACAATGACCTGTCGACTGCTTTCGTCTACGCTATCTGTCCCCAACCCCCTTGCCCCCTCCTCTGGGCTCCTGACTCTTTCTGCAGCCTTTCTACTGCTACTCTTTAGCTCCTTCTTACTGTTGTCTTTCAGCCACATCCTTGCTCTTAATAGGGTTGCATGGTGTACAAAAACTCAAAAACAATTTGTCCCCTGACACATGCGTCAGGTCCTTAAACTCTCGCTGACGTTAGGCAGGTGTGACCAGCGCGGCGTGGGGCTGTTCAAATATAATCTTACATCTTTTGGGGGACTTTTTGCCCCCCCCCCCCCCTTACACTTTTTTGGACATTTTCCTCCCCCAACCCCTCCCACATCCTGTCATATTACATGATACACTAACAATAATAATATGACATTTATATTGCTCAATTCTGTGTTACAATCTTTGTTCTATGCGCTTTACTTTTATAAAATAGTATTCATGAAAAACTGCATACACACATGTGACATAATAGTTACATGTGCATACGGTACAAGCGGAACTTTTCCGGAAAAACTTACTGTGTCTTTTAACCACTTGAACCACACCGGTATAATCAAAATTAGATTAGATCTACATTGTCATGTAGCCTTGATATCTACCAGTGTATGTAAAGTGCGAGATGACATTTTCGTGCTTGCCGCTAGGGGACCTACTGTATCGCCACAATGCCGTGCTTACCGCTCTAGAAGTCTAAGTGAATAATAGATATATCTAGTTACTCTTTTTTAATGGTTTTCTTTTATTATTATGTTGTCATAAATTATTTGTCACGAGCGCTCAAATGACCTTATGCAGTTACGAGCGCAGTACAACTATTACCAAAACAAATACCAAAACTAATACCAAAAGAAAAGATCTGTAGAGATGAAGAACTCGAAACAGGGACGCATTAGCTCATGATCCTCCACGCCAGAGTCTGATCTGCGGAGTTTTCGGCTGTCTGCAGCGGAAGTAGCTGTTGGGAAATATCTTTAGCCCTATCCGTACACCCTGGGGTCATTTTGTACCCTCGTGGTTGTATTCTTCACTTTTCAGAATACTCTTAGTACAAAGATCTCTTTGTAACGTTCATTATTTCACAAAAAATCATTTTGACAGACTGCTATGCAAAGTGTACAGATAGAATTAACGAGTAAGTTTCCTCTTTGGAAAATGGTGGCACAGAGTTCCCCACGTCGTATGAATACGATAGTAAAGCACGACGTACGGATAGGGTTAAAGGTCCTCATTTGCACAGAGTGAAGGGGGTTGGATCGTGCCTGTTGTCGATAACCAGGATGGGAGTAGTTCACTTCCTAAACAAGCTGAATTGTATTGATGGAGACATAAAAGAAACACACATCTACAATCACAACAAAGGTATGAAAGTAAAGACGACGGATTTCTATGGGCCGGTCGTGCGTGCTGTACTCCCTCGTCGGTAATAGATGCTACTGAGCATGTCCATCATGAAAGAATGAACAGCCCCGTACTAATTGTATTCAGATCTAGCGAAAAAGTAAAAACTTGTCTGTCGGTTTGTCTGCGTTTTACCACACAGTGTAGGGCCTTCCTTACTCGATGTGCATTTCGTTCAGGTCAGCCTTCATTCTTCAAGTTGTGTGTGTGTGTGTGCGTGTGTGTGCGTGTGTGTGTGTGTGTTTGTGTGTGTGTGTGTGTGTGTGTGTGCGTGTGTGTGTG